AAAAAATCATACGATTTTAATGAAATTTGGTACAAACGTGTAGACCTACGTTTATTCAAAGAGTTCGCAAACCAGCATAATCAGACTAAGGGAACAGATGTTTAAAATTAAAATTTCACAAGTTCTTTCCAAATCATTTGGTACCGTAGAGCTTGAAAAAAGAAATACCTTTGCATATTGAAGCATGGTTGTATGCCTAACGGTTACGGAGATAATTAAAAAAATTGTAGGCCTAAATTTAAAATTCCCATGTTATTTCTATGGAGAATAGATAAAATATTGTAGTTTGCTTGTTTATGGATATATTTTAATCAAATTTGGAAAGTTTCATTCCATTGTTTATTTCATTCTAAGCTATCAACATAAATTTAATTCTTTCTTGGATATGATATGTATTTCAACGCTGCTGAGCATAGCATGGGTTCTCTAGCGTTAGGTATTTAGTAAATGAATCTAACAATTTGAGGGAATATTTTTGTAGAAATTCAGACAGGTAAATGGATATTGGCTAAGTGTGCAGGTTTGCTGTGGCGGGGGTATTTATATCAACCAAGGTTTAAGTAAGTGCTGCCAAATATTTATCTGTTATGTAGGCCTAGACTCATTACCTAATATTTGGTTGAAATAGATTCTTATTCGATTGTAGGTTACCACCCTCCTGACCAAACTAAAATGTCCAAAGCCGCTGCCAGTTACACGACATTCAATAACCCAGAGCTGTCTCATGACGTATAGAGCTCTTGCTTACGGAGCTAGGTTAGGATAGGTTAGTTTGCACTACAGCCGGTAAAAAGAATTCACAGTGTGCAGGCGCTCTGGACGTCGTGGGACAGCGCTGAGCTATTGGACGCTGTGAAACTGGGAGCGGCTTTGGACGTGGTGCAGTTGCTATATTTTAAAGAGTGTTAAGTGCGCTGTTTCACGACGACCAATCTCATGACCAGAGCTTGTAGAAAGACTATGTTATGTTTATTGCAGTTACTGTACTTTTGGACATGATGAGATTTGAACGTCATGCAAGAGATAAATATTTCAGACTATTGGACGCCGTGAGACAGCTCAAGAATTTTACTTTGAATGTTGTGGAATGCATCCTTACTTATACAACAGTTTAAACAAAAAAAAACTTTTTAATACTTGATAGTGCCTTACCAGAAAGTCTGTACACAGCATTTTGTTACCATGTTAGCCTACCCATGAGTAATGATGTGCGATACTGGTCAATGTGTTGATACTGCTTAGAGATATGTATTAGAACGGAATGTATCGATACCTATATCATATGGTATCTTTGTGCATGAATATTTACCCAAATCAGATGAAATATCGTATAAGTTATTTCAAATTTTTAGAAAAAAAATTTTAATACCTTAAATATACAAGCTGCAGAGACAGATACTATGTTATTTACGAGCTTGTACCCTCAAAATTCAAACATATTTTGTTATTGCATTCCTAGTTTTTGCACATGTATAATTAAGTAGAAAAAGTAGGCTACCGGTACTTATAATATTTGTGGTGAGGCTTACTTGAACACATTTAATAGTATACCCTAACATGGATAATGAGGGTCACTTCCATTGATGATGTCCCTAGTTTTGAGGTTATTTGCAAAACTTAGCTGAAAATACATGTTATCAGTATTTTTGAGAATTTGTAGAGTAAAATATCAAATTTCAACTACAATTGAAGGGAGGAGAAAAATCCCCCCACCGGGTTTTTACGAGAAGGAAAGGAAAGGGAGGAAAAGTTACTTAGGCCTACCTGAAAAACTATATTTGATTTATATTAATAAATAAACAATACAGTATTCAATACGGTGCTGGTTATAGGTATATCGATACAGGCATATCGATAAGTTACACGCCAACCATATGATACAAAATATCAATATTTTCCTGTCCTTGTGCTGATATCCGAATCGACACGTATCGATTTTAACTTACCTATGAGCACATTTGAGAAATCAGTAGGCCTAAGCTTTTTTTAAAACTTTCATCATGAAGAGAAGTTTTTTTGGTTATTAGGGAAAATTATGAGACAATATCAACATTTGAAAGAATGTAGGCCTACTGTAGGTAATTTAAGAATAGGCAAAAAACTTGTTATTCCAAAATTATTACCTAAATATTAAAAGTACGGTAACTTATGTACTGTAATTTTTCAGATAAGTTAGGTTACTTAGTAAGAATTACTGTAGAACTTTCGGCCGATTATGATAACAAATATACAATTAATATTAATACAATTAACTTACATTCTGTTAAAAACAATCAATTACTGTATTTATGGTGCCGCGTCGCCTCGCATAAAAGCTCATAAGACTAAGTAACTTAAATGGTACTTTCCTGTTATCTGGTACCTGCAAAAAAATTCTTCCCTGTTTTCTGGTACCTGTGTTTATTAATCAAACGATTACATATGAGTTTCGGGTGGCCAGAAGTATTGAATTACTTCTAACAGTGCTTCGAAAACATCGCAATCACCGAACATCTTGCGCCACATAAACTCTGCCAAATAAGACTCTAAATGATGACGTGCAGTGCATCGGTGCTTCTTGTTGCGCCACTTTGCTGCCCAACACAAGCGTTCGACGGTCTGAGTATCTGCTCCGCACTCTGTATCGACGAAGTTGTACTTTGGTTAGGTTAGTTTATCAATAACATGAGTATTGTAAGTAAACGAACCTAACCAAACCTAGCCTAAACGGTAGTAACTTATGTGCTCCGGACTCTGGATCGACGAAGTTGTATTTGTGGTTAAAGAATTTTTTTGCAGGTACCAGATAACAGGGAAGTACCACTTAAATGTAGGTTGCCTACTTAAAACCGCTACAAAGTTGCGGTTCCTAGGCTCGCCGCTCTGGACTATAGAGCAAGCTGATCCAGCTAAGCCAAACCAAAAATACTTTTTTTAGAGTAGCTGGCATTCGAAAAGACCTGAAACAGTTTATAAGTCGACTTGAGAATTATTTGTTTGATGCCTTTATGGTTATCAATGTCCATTAATTACACCCACACTGTGTGCCCTTGCAAATTTCAATAGGCCTAAGTTATGTTTGTGTGTGTTGCTAGCCTATTGATTAGGCTAGCGTTACTGATTTTAGAGCAGGGGTACAGATTCAATTTCCGGCATATCCATAACAATAACTTAACTTAGGCCTAAGTTAGGCCATTTTTAACATTTGGACCGCTTTCCTTAAAAGCATTATTACAGGGGTTTTAGGTTTACTTATCGGTTAAAAGTAGGCTAGGCCTACTCGATTTATTATAAAATGTTATGTTGGTTTGCCAGTTAAATATTTGAAAACATGATGCCAAGGCCTAACTTAAACTTATCTAGAAAATAATGTGTTGTCTAAGTTAAATATTGTCTAGAGAGAAGTACCGGTACCTACTTATAGTGCTCACCTTCAAATCTGTAGATTGATTATTTGATTCCAAGCAAGTTGATTGTTTTTGTTAACAATTAATGACTGCTAAGTTTGCCTATCCAACAATAAGGTGTAAACAAGATAAGGTTGTTGGGAAGTTTACTTAACTTAACAAGACCATGGTTTGAACCGCTCCCATTAAAAAGGTTAAAAAATGCCGTCGGCATAGATACTACAAAAAAATAATAAAAATAAAACGAAATGCCTTACAGGACATAGGTCTAGGCCTAAGTTTAGTTGCTGAAGCTAATGATTGTGTTATGCTGATACATACAGGCATAACTTGGCTAACAAGTTTCTAACTTGCACGCCTAGGCCTAGGCATAGATTTTAGGACCAAAAAAACTTAACAATAAGTTACAAGAAGATTAACACCACCTAAGAAACTACATAGGCCTAGGCTAGGTCTAACTTACTACGAAAAGTTTGGTAAGGCTTTAAGTAGAGTACTTAACCTAAATGTTTGAGTGGAAGTGCTCCTACTGAGCTATATAATAACATAGACAAAAATAATTAAATGATCTATTTATCTTAATGTTACCCACCCAAAATGGGGGCTACCGCTACCTACCTGCTAGATAAATCACGTCACTAATCAACTAAACTAAAGCAAGAAGCAGGACTAATTATTCGATAGACGTGACTAATAATTTAGTGCGATGTTAACATAATTTCATTCATAGAGTACAAAATGTAAGGCTTAACTTTTGAGTAAAAAGTCGAAGTCACTAAGTAGGGCAATAGCTATGAATTATTGGCAGTTTGTGTTTACGTTTACTTCACTAACATTTTTGTAAACAAAATATTATAACTTAAATGACAGTCTACTGAATCAACTCAAATCAAATACTCAACACGACGGACGACAGCTAAGAACTATGATAGTCAAACGAACAACAAATGGCTAACAACTAAAGTCAAAATTGAAAATTAAGTTAAAAACGATAAATCAAAAACATAAACGAAAATTACCGAAATATACCTTAGAAAGAACTACATAAAAAAATAAATGTGTGGTACAAGAATCAGATTTTTTAACGTTTTCGTAAAAAAGCCTTATGGTAACAAAGTTTAGCATACGAAATTTTTTACTTGAGTATGAGGACTTCAACTTCGTTTCGTCCAATTAACAACTAAGGTTATGGAATATAGCTTAGAATAGGCCTGTATCAGTTTATGGCCACACCGAATTCAACCTAGTTCAGTGGTTCATGTGAACTGGAGGATCTAGCGCAACACAGTCTGAAGTAGGCATATGTCCTTTATTCAGTCGAAGCGGCTGCTTTAAGCAACTTATGTGAAATGTACTTCCAGGGTTAAGTCAGTTATGAGGGAAAATAGCTTACATAAATTTGTCAATTTATGGCAATTAAGTAAATAATTATTTGGTAAGAGTGTAAGCCAGGCCCAACATTATTACGCATTACGCCTACCCGATAGTTAAACATTTATGTCCAAGGGAAGTTGGCGCACCCCCTGTCTGCATCCGCCACTGTAGGCCAATGGATTAGGCCTAATTTGAGACTTAAGTTAGGTTTACACTAGCATTGAAAAGTTCTACACTCACAAACTTGTCGTTTCTCTCTTCTTGTATCAAAGAATTAAATGATTCTTCAGCCTCGCTATCGTGTCCCTCACTATCAACAGGTTTCACTGTCCGGTCACTAATCTTCAGGTAACGGTCTGAAATAAAAATAGAGAAAAAACAAAAACACATGAACCACTTAGTAAAGATAGTTATAAAACAATCAAAGGAGGTTTCTCCTTACGAGTGAAAGAGAAAACCACCTTTAACCAAATGTAATGTTAAGGTTCAACACTAACAATATTCACTAATTTGCATGGCATTTGACACATATTGCTTTATTTTAAGATCTTTTTTGATCCTGAGGTGAAAAATCCCAAGTTTAACATGTACGGTAGTGTAGGGGAAAACTTCTTACATTTTTAGATTTATTTGGATTTAAAAAAAAAAAAGATCGTAGGGTCTAAAAATATAAAAACTAGAACCGAACTTAGCAAACAATATTTGTTGAGCATAACAAAAAAAACTAATTAATCGAGTTTCAAAAATTAATTAATACCGTACGCAAAACTTCCCAGGACTTGCGTAATTTAGTCGATCGGTTGGAGAAAAACTCTACTTAAAAAATGTCTTTGCATTATTGCATTGTTAACTTGATCAATTTTACTAATTTATTTAGGCCTATTAAGAATGCGAATGACTAGTTAATATAAGTTTCCTCATCTTTGAGGGTATTTTTTTTTTGAGGTGAACAGTTAATGTGTTGAGAGTGTAGGTTAGTATTATTAATGAGCTGTGAGGTGTAGTCATTTCAAATTACAAAGTAACTTAGTGCTGACTTTTTTGAGTCATTAACCTACTGTAGCCCAACGGCCATTGGAAATGTTATTTTTTAAACAGCTAAGCAAGACTTCTAAACCTTGTTCCGATATAGGTTGGTGTATAATAAGCCTATGACTAACTTAAACGTTGCTGGGAGTGATAAGTTAATGTTGAAATGAAACGCTTTATTAAAATGCACACGCACATAAAGAGCAATAAGTTTAACTTAGGCTTCATGAAAACAAAAACAATATAACTTACAACTTATTTGATGATTTTGTTTTCCTACACGATCCATACCGGTAAGTTATTCTTTCTGTTTTAATATCTTCAAACGCATTTAAATTACAAATGAAGAACTAACCTTGTTTTGGCAAAAATAATAGCCTATAGGCCTATTGGATTAGGAAATGAAACTAGCCTATTCTAAACTAACTTAACGTAACTAATCACACTGGCTATAGGCTACGTTAGCGTTTCAAAATTCTTTTTGATAACAGAAAAGGCATATAGGAAAAAGGCTTTCAGACGGAATTTTTAAATGTTAACAGCAAGTTTGGTTGGTCCTTACTTATTGTAGCCTTACCTAAAAAACTGATTTAAAAGCATAAGTTAATCAAGATAGGTTATGATAACTTAGGTTACTTCCAGGTGTAACGTATGCATGGAATAGTCTTGGCTCAATCTAACATTAGAGTGACATTTTCTTAGGCAAACTTAGGCCTACAGGCTGCACTTTACTTGACGTCCTACACTCATTCGATTGTATTTTTCGATTCGATATTTTCATTCGATTAATTAATTCGATATATCGTTTGGTTAGTTAGGTTAGGTTAACCTTACCTAACTAACCAAACGATATATCGAAAGAAGCAATCGATTAATCGATATATCAATCGATATTTTCATTCAAATGAGTGTAGGACGTCAAGTAAAGTGCAGCCGGCCTACATAGGCTACTTACATAAATAATACTGTAACTTACATTAATGTAACTTAGCCCTATCAGATGCAGTTCCATAAGTGACCCGCAGAACAATCGAATGGATGTATCGATTTATAGATTTCATTTGGTTATAGTTAATATAGGCTGCACTTTACTTTACGTCCTACACTCATTCGAATGAAACTATCGATTGTTCGATCAATTGATATAACTTATCGAACAATCGATATATCGATCGATATTTTCATTCGAATGAATGTAGGACGTAAAGTAAAGTGCAGCCTTAATATAACCTAGGTGAACCTTACCCATACCTAATCCAATGACATATTCGATAAGCTATATTAAGAAAAAAATTGATATATTTATTTGGTTGTTCTGCGGGACAGTTATGAAACTACAGCCAGGCTAAGTAGGCCTATCCTATCATGATATTTTAATAGGCTAAGTTAACTTAAATGGCTCAACTTACATCACACTAACTTAGCAATCAATGTCCTGAACCCTACCTAAAATGTAACAATTCGTATTCCTTCTGTGTTAATAGGTACTTTCCTGTTAAAGGGAACATTCATTATTATCGATGATTTCTGTTCGATATATCGATATTTTTGTTTTCCATCCGATATATTGATAGTAACAAATTGAAACATATCAGCTGATAAGTACGATATAGGATACAGTAAATAAATATTGTTCAGTATTAACAAACAATTAAAAAAAAAAATTATATTGAAATGAAACTGTTCTAAACTAACCTAACCAACCAAACTTGCTATAACTTAACATTTCAAAATTCCGTTTGATAGCCTATTCCCCATATGCCTTTTCTGTTATCAAATGGAATTTTGAAACGGTAACTTAGCCTATACAGCAAGTTTGGTTGGTTATGTTAGGTTAGTTTAGAAAAGTTTCATATCCTAATCCAATATAGGCCTATAGCCTATTATTTTTGCCTAAACAAGGTTAGGTAGTTCTTAATTTGTAATTTCAATGCGTTTGAAGATATTAAAACAGAAGGAATACCAATCGTGAAGTAAAACAAAAATATCGATATATCGAACATAAATCATCGATAATAATGAATGTTCCCTTTAACAGGAAAGTACCTTAATATCTTCAAACGCATTTAAATTACAAATTAAGAACCAGGCCTAACCTTGTTCTGGCAAAAATGGGTACACTCCCATAACTTATGTGTTGGCACAAACAACCGAATGAAAATATCGATCCATAGGCTATCGATTATTTGATATATCGTTTGGTTAGTTAGGTAAGGTTAACCTAACCTAGCTAACCAAACGATATTGAATTAAACTATCGATCGAATAACTTAGTCAATATTACTCATTCGGTTGATTGTGCCAACAGATATGGAAGTGTACCCGCAAAATAATAATAGCCTATATTGGATTAGGAAATGAAACTAATAAGTTAGCATATTCTAAACTCTAACACAAACACAAACTAATAAGTTAGTCCCTAAATAGCTCATTCCCTATAGGGCTAACTTAAGTTATGGGAAATTCACTAAAAGTATGGTACATTGAAAAATGAGTTGATTTCTAGCCTAGCCTCCCAAAACACAGCCAAAACGATAGGCCTACCAATGATACATTAACACTTTAACTCATCTTAAGTAGCCTATTTCATTAATATTCAAGCTAGGCTACAAAAAGGCCTAAGTTAGGTTGTACACTTAACAACACTGCTTTTGAATGATAAATCCAATGTAAATATAATTTTTAGCGATTAAGTGTGTTAAGCCATAGATGAAGTGTGACTGTTGCCAAATAACTTAAGTTTATCACTTTAACTTAGTTAGGTGTACATACCCGGCTTTGTTTCATTATTATTTAGCCTGACTTATAAACCGATCAAATATATTAAAATATTATTAAAACCTAGCGAAGTTACAGCTACAGCATTAAGTTATCTTAAATTTTAAGCTTTATTTGATTTGTATCTGCCAGCAGCCTACAAACTGGACCTTAGCCTGAGTAGTTCATGGAATTTCCTAAAACGTTGTTTTATATTTAACTAACTTAGGCTACTTCTGTAATATTTCAATAATTTGACTTACCTCATCAGTATCTACAGACAATTTTCCACTTCCTGTTCACAACATAAACAACACTCACTGAGTGAGAACTAAAATGATAACTTATGTAAATTAGGTAAACAAAAACAAACACTGGCTTCTGTCAGATCGGATAGAAAAAAATGGCGAATGGCGGCGTCTTCTTTAATGTTTCACTCCACTACTCCCAGCAGTCCCAGAGCTCACCGGTTGAGAGCCCGATGCATTGTGGGATTGAGTTTTCAATTCCTATACAATAGGTAGGTTAGGGTTCACTTACTCTACGAATCATTGACACAATGAGCCTCCAAATATGTAATTCTTAAAACACATGGCTCACTTACTCTACAAATCATAGTCTATACGAGCTTCGTAAATAATATTGAAAGTTCACTTGCACTACAGGCTCGTATACTATACGAGCCGATCAAAAATATCAAATAAATGAAGAGGGTTCACTTACTCTACAGATCATTGTGCCTATGAGCCAAGCGTATGAATTCTTGAATAATTCAGGAATAAGCTCGTATAGTATACGAGCCAAAATACTGAATTTAAATAAATTACAGGAGTAGGCTCGTATACTATACGAGCCTATTTCATGATAACTATTACACAAATAGAAGACGGCTCACTTACTCTACAGTTCATTGGCACAATGATCTGTAGAGTAAGTGAACCCTCTACAAATATAAGAAGGCTCACTTACTCTACGGTTCATTTAGCTACTCGTCGCGCGGTTTGCAGCGCATCGTTGCAGGCGTGTATGGTAAACCAATACCGCAGTTCTGCCGTTCTGCCTTACTTCTGCCGTTTACTAGTCTTGCAGCGTGAAAGAGAGCTTGTTATGTTAATGCATTGTTGAATTTTTAACTTGTGTAATCGTTGCTAGAAATCAAGCAATTATCAAGTACCGGTATTACAGGAGCTATTTTGAGAGTTATTACAGACTTAATTTTCAATTAATTAAAAAGACTCACGTAAAAGCTTATGCAACTAATGGAATCACTTACTGTGTTATGAACATTTCTATATAATTAAAGTTGTAAATATTTTAAAATTGTTTAGAAGATTGCCTTTTTAGTGTTTTCTACAAACGTGTCTCAACTTAAACACATAGCCGCATTGATGTTAATGTGCATGTGCATTTTCGCCAATGATAATGTACCAATGTCGACCGTACCAATGTCTAAACTTTACTTTCAAATGGATTTGTTGTTAAAATTTTTTATATTTATACATCATACATAATTTAAATGTTTTTACGTGACAAAATAACAAAATATAACAAGCTACATTACATACAATATAATTTAGGCTTGAGCTAATGGAAAACTGTAGTTTTCGCATACTTGTCTTAGCTTACAGATTCAATTACATCCTTTGTTTACCAAACAAGATATTTACACTTATTGAAAAAATAACACTTAGACAGATCAATAATTGTAAATTACGATGACAACTGCATTTACATAACAATCATTACACAAAGAAGTATGTTTTTGTGACAAAGAGGTCAAATAGAAATTTCTTTTAGAACTATATAATTTATAAAGACCGGCCTTTTACAGTAATATGGTTTACAGTACTTATTAATTGCGCAGTTGTTAAATGCCCTTATAAACATATGGAAATTAAAAATTTAAATTATTAAATCATTTTCTTTACAAACTCATGAACAATACAAAACGTTCTCTGACCCCTCATAGGAATGAAAAGTGAAGATGATCGCAAGATCTCAAGTTCAAGTCACGTTCTCATGGGCAAAGACCTGGCTGAGAACAAGCCAGGCATAGATTGAATTTCGATTTTAATGATTAAAGTGTAAAAAAAATTGGCCTGATCTGTAGTTTTGCAAAGTGTTTTTAAATTTTTGAAATCTTTATTAGTTTGGGCAGGTTTTCTCCCATAAGATTAACATGGAGGAATCTAAATATTTAATTGGAAACTTTGTGTCCACTAATTCGAGAGAACGGCTGGGCGTAGAAACTTGGTAGAGGTGACCAAATAAAGGTATTGGTCTGTAGATGAGTTATCAGAAGAAAAACTAAGTAAATTCCCTTAGGGCTCTGCCCCAGAAGCCTTTAAAGATCCCTCCACAGATTTGTTTACATTTTGGTCATGTGGATAATACTTTTTAATGAAACAGCTGTTAATTTTTAAACTGTATTTTAAACAACACACATTTATTAGGAGTTACTGAACTGTCCAAAAGAAGTATTTGCAATGTTATTTTCTGTTTGTAATAGCTATTTACCTAACCCGCCATGTTAAACTTCCCTATCCCAAGCGTGATGTATACAACTACCTTACTTCTCGAGTGATGTAAAGTAGAAAAAAACTCACTCGGTGATGTAATAAAACCCATTTAAATAACATTGAGTGGATAACTTAAAAAATATACCTCTTATGGAGCCAACGACGTTCAACGCTAGAAATCAGCTGTGTGTTTAAATGTTATTGTTATGCTTTGAAGAATTTTCCTAACCTAGCTTTTGTTTGTAAATGAACGTTACTGTTAGAAGATGAGTGAAATTGATAATGAAGCATATTGCTCGTAACCTCCTGAATATTGTCGGGTCAGGGGTCAGGTAAAATCTTGTACGTTACACGTTACGCAAGAGCGTGTTTACATCACCTCGGTGAATTATGCAACTCGCCTTCGCTCGTTGCACAACATTCTGATGTAAAAACGCTCTTACTACACTTGTAATGTAAATAGCTATTACTTTGCAAGTGTAGTAAGAACGTTCTTACATCACGCAGGTGAAGGTTGTGCAACGAGCGGAAGCGAGTTGCATAATTTACCTAAGTGATGTATAAACACGCTAACGTACAAGATTTCACCTGATCCGACAATAAACAGGAGGTTACGAACAATATTAATCATTATCCATTTCACTCATCTTCTAACAGTAACGTTCATTTACAAACAAAAGCTAGGTTAGGAAAATTCTTCAAAACATAACAATAAAATTCAAGAGCACAGCTGATTTCTAGCGTTGAACGTCGTTGGCTCCATAGAGGTATATTTTTTAAGTTAATCACTCAATGTTATTTAAATGGGTTTCATTACATCACTGAGTGAGTTTTTGATACTTTACATCACTCGAGAAGTAAGGAAGTTGTATACATCACGCTTGGGATAGGGAAGTTTAACATGGCGGGTTAGGTAAAATTAATTTTCTTCTGTATCATGTCATGTTTTTCAATATAACGTTTCATTACGAAATCAGTTAAAAATCCTTTTATCACAGTAACTCTTTCAATTATTTCTTATTGAACTATCTTATATCTATTGTACGGGTTGCTGTCTGCCTTTTTCACCACTTTTGTCTATATTTTATCATATTATCTTTGACTATCAATGATATTATTCTAGACAGATCATCATAGGTTCATGAAATTATTGTCATACATGTTTTCAAACGTTGGAAAAATCTTCGATTGTGTAATACAATACACAATAATACAAGTGCAAAAGGAGACGTTGCCCATATGAGCCGTGTCCATATTTTGTTAAATGGATAATAGTTTAGAGCAACTGGATAAAACATTTTACAATATTTATGTAGAAATATGTGTATGATTTAGAAAGTCATTAAGCTGGAAAACTTCAATTTACTGCAGACTTTTCAGAGAGGTTACTTTGATGTATTCATTCAACACAGAAACCTTGCCTAAAATGGTATACCTATCTTGAATTATTTGCAGTGGCCTATATTACGGACCGTGGCCCACTGGGTTGGTAACAAAATTGAAAATAACACGACATTTTGGCTGTAAACAATAGCATAAAGAGTAAGTACTATTTAAGCAGCTACTGTCGTGACGTAAAGGTCATATTCCTTTTAATTTAGATCACATCATCTAATATAAGAACAACGTAACAACAACGTACGTTAACAAGATACGTTGATTAACAATGCATGTAAACGTCGATATTAACGTAACAGCCAATTTACAGTACTTATTTTTATTTTTGGAAATGTTAAATTGCTATGTTATTTGCATTATTTGTTGCCAATGAAGCTGCGCGACCATTTAAACAAGGAGGTCCCTAAAAGTTCAAGAATAAAAGCCAACTCCACTTCAAGTACATTCCACTACACCTAACATTCCGTAGAGAGATTATATTGACAACTTTATGAAAATGATAAGGCTGAGACATCTAACTGCCATCCCCCATGTCACGCAATTCCAGCTTTAACAGTAACCCCACAACCAATTTTTCAAAACTATGCTGGAGGGTTATTTGTTGAACAGAAGTACGATAAGAACTGACGCGTTGTGACGAAGGAAAACTCCCTTTGAAGTTTCAGGTACCTATTTGACATGTCTCACATATCTACGTTTTCGACCAATCTAGTGTAAACTAAGTTTTTTTACTTCATTAATACTATCAATCCTTATTGCCTTAATATTTAAATCGGATATCTTCTAATCTGCAGTACAGCAATCATTTGCAAATTGCATTTCCATCCCGTAATCATTTTCATCTTGATTTGTATTAATTTATGTTATCACTTTAATTGTTATTTTACTGTATTATTGGCCTAACCTACGTGAAAAAGTGTACTTCATTTACATTATTACATTATTTCACTTTTTTGTATATCACGTATTTAAAAAAATCGTTATATTAAGCCGGGTTTACACTATGTAGCAAAACCTGCTATATAGCAGATTTGTGTAACATCTAGCAATGTTATATAACATTTGCTAGAAGTAGAAAAAGTCACTTTTCAAAAGTGCTATATAACACTGCTATATGTAGCAGATTCTGCTATATAGACTATAGCAAAAATTGTGCTATCCATCGGGAGTCGGTAAAGATCAAAAGAAATGCATGCTACATCTAACATTGCTATATGTAGCAATGTTATACAAATATTTTTCGTCTAGCATCTGCTATATGTAGCATTTAGTGTCAACAGTTCACAAAAGTTCACAGTTGTAGCCTCCTGTGTACGGACGTTTTTGCTCGGGGATCTTTGTTTACAATGGAAAGACTGTAAAGCGACAGTGCGTGGGATCGGGATGCTATTATAAACTTTAATTGAACTGTTCCGTGGACAACCGGCGTTGTGGTCATACGTAAAA